AATTTCCCAATGAAGCCATTGGGTCATGAACTTTTCTTTGTTGGGAGTTTGCCAATTACTGATTCAGTCTTTTTATTAGTAATTGGCCTTTTCAGATTTCTGTTTCCTCATGATTGTGTCTTGATTGGTGGTATGTTTCTACTAGTTTATCTATTTCTTTCAGCTTGTGTAATTTGTATAATTGTAGTGGTTTCTCATGACCTTTAGTATTATCATTAGTAGTGTCTCCTCTTCCATTTTTTATTTTATTTATTTGGGACTTTTTTATTAGTAGTCTAGCTAAAGTTTTGTCACTTTTTAAAAAAATTCTTTTGAAAACTCAGTTCTTAGTTTCATTGATCTTTCCTATTTTTTGGAGGGGAGCTTTCCATTTCATTTATTACCACTCTGATCTTTGTTGTTACCTTCCTTCTACTAATTTTGAGCTTGGTTTGTTTTTCTAGTTTTGAGGTATAAAATTAGGTCTTTTTTGGTGCATGGTGTTTTTAATGTAGGCATTTATTGCTGTAAACTTCCCTCTTAGAACTGCTTTTACTGTATCCTATAAGTTTTCATATGTTGTGTTCCAATTTTCCTTTGTCTCAAAGTACTTTTAGATTTTCCTTTTAATTTCTTCTTTGACTCACTGGTTGTTCAGGCAGACTTTTTAAATCACATGTGTCTGAATTTTCCAATTTTCCTTATGTTTTTCATTTCTAGTTTCATACCACTTTGATCAGAAAAGATACTTGATATGACTTCACCCTTTTAAAATATGTTAAGATTTGTCTTGTGACCTAACATATGATCTGTCCTGGAGAATGTCCCATGTATGCTTGAATAGAGTGTGTATTCTGCCGCTTTTGGATGAAATATTATGTATATTTCTGTTAGGTTCATCCGATCTAACATGTAGTTTAAGTTCAGTGTTCCTAAAATGATTTTCTGTCTGGATGATCTGTCCATTGTTGAAAGTGAGATATGAAATTCCCTGCTATTATTGTATTGATGTCTATTTCTGCCTTCAGGTCTGTTAATATGTGCTTTCTATACTTAGCTCTACTGATGTGGGTTCAGAAATATTTACAATTATTATATCTCTTGATGAAGTAATCCCTTTATCATTATATAATGATCTTTGTCTCTAATTACAGGGTTTGGCTTAATGCCTGCTTTGTCTAAGTATACCTGCACCTGCTTTCTTTTGATTTCCATTTGCAAGGAATATATTTTTTCATACTTCCAGTCTATGTGTGTTCTTAAAACTAAAGTGAGTCTCTAATAGGCAGTGTATGGTTGAGTCTTTTTTTTTTTCTTTTTATCTCTTCACCCACTCTGTCTTGTGATTGGAGAATTTACTCCATCTACATTTACAGAAACAACTTGTAGGTATGTACTTACTATTGCCACTTTGGTAGTTGTTTGCTGGCTGATTCGTAGTTCCTTTGTTCCCTTCCTCCTCACTTGATCTCTTTCTTGGTGATCTGATGATTTTTCTGTAGTGGTATACTTTGATTCCTTTCACTTTATCTTCTGTGTGTCTACTGTAGATTATTATGTTGTGGTTACCATGAGGCATAACATCTACAATGTATTGTAAGATGATAACAACTGACTTCAAAATCATACAAAGGCTCTATATTTTTATACCCTCCACCGCATTTTGTTTTTGATGTCACAATTTAGAATTTTGTATCTTATCTAACAAATTATTGCAGTTATAGTTATTTTTAATACTTTTGTCTCAACCTTTATACTAGAGTTATAAGTAATTTAGCAGCCACCATTACAATATGAGTATTCTGAATTTCACTGCATATTTACCTTTACCAGTGAGTTTTGTATTTTCATATTATTCCTGTTACTAATTAGCATCCTTTCATTTCAGCTTGAAGAACTGCCTTTATCATTTCTTATAAGGCTGGTCTAGTGGTAATTAACTCTGTCAGCTTTTGTTTTTCTGGAAAACTAGCTCTCCTTCATTTGGGAAGGACAGTTTTGCTGGGTAGAATACTCTTGTGGGCAGTTTTTTTTCTATCAGCCCTCAAATATCTCATCCCACTCCCTCTGGCCTTCAGGTTTTTGCTAAAAATCTGCTGATAGCCTTGTGGGTGTTACCTTGTAAGTAACAATTTGCTTTTCTCTTGCTGCTTTTAAGATTCTTTCTTTGTCTTTAACTTCAGATGATTGAATTATAGTGTGCCTCTGTATAAGGTTTTTTTGATTAATCTTTTTTTGGTATTTTGGAGCTTCCAGGATCTGAATTTCTGTTTATTTCCCTAGGTTAAAGAAGTTTTAAGGCATTATTTCTTTGATTAAGTTTTCTTCCCCTTTCTCTCTTCTCCTTCTGGTATCCCTATAATGTAAATATTGATCCACTTGATAATGTCCTATATGTCCCTTATGCTATCTTCACTCTTTTTCTTTCTTTTTTCTTTTTGCTCCTCTGATTGGATGAATTCCACTACTCTGTCTTCAAGTGCAATGATCTTTGTTCTACTTGATCTAGTCTGCTGTTGAACCCTTCTATTAAAATTTCAGGTCAGTCATAGTACTCTTCAGCTCTATGATTTCTAATACTTTTTAATATTTCTGCATACTGTTTTTTCATATCTCTGTTGAAATTCTCATTTTGTTTGTGTATTGTTCTTTTTAGCACAGTGAGCATCTTTATGATTGTTATGTTGACTCATTTGGGCAAATTACTTACCTCCATTTCATTAAGATCAGTTTCTGGAGATTTATCTTGTTTTTTTGTCTGGAACATAGCACCCTGTTTCTTCATTTTTCCTGGCTCTCTATTGGTTTCTTCTCATTAGATACAATAGCCACCAGTCTTGTCAGATTTATCTTGTGGAGCTTATCAGTCAGCTCAGCATGAGCTCCTGATTGTCTCTCAAACAGGATTGTCCAAGACACCATCTTTGTTCTTTGTGGCTCCCAGTAGTTAAGAGTGTGCCAAGAACCATTAGTGTTTCAAAGGGAAAGGTTACAACCATCACCTAGATGCAGGCTGATTTGTACCTGGTACCTCAGGCAACATCTGGGAAAGCATGCAGACAAGCCTTTTCCAAGGAAAAACTGTGTGATAAGCATTTTGCCTGCTGTATGGGTATATAATCATGGTGGTTGCTCCTGCACTTATTTAGAAACTGCTTCTTTGTTTGCTATAGTCTTGTGGGACTTGGAAATGCAGCCCCTATTGGTTATCAGAGCAAGATGATTTGGGTGCCTAAACCTGGCATGGTAGCTGTAAAAGCTGAAGCACTAGGTGTGTAGACAAGCTCCTTCCAGATAGATACTGGCAACTTGGTTTTATGTTAGAGGGAGCTAGAGGGAGAAGATGGGGGAAGTGCCCACAAGCTCTTTAGGCCTCTAAGGAGGATAATAGTAAGCACCTAGATGAATGCTAATTAGAAGTTATAATCTCATATACCAGACTGTAAAGTATGCAGTTACATTGCTCTGAGGGAAAGACTTGGGAGATGGGCATTTTTTGCCTACTACCTCCCTGCTAAGCCCTGAAGGATGGCCATAGCAAATGCTCATGGGCGTGCTGTTAATGACTACTTCTTTCTCTGCTACAGTACTGTGATATTTGTGAATGCAAATCTCATTATCAGAGTTGGTGATCTGGGGGCCTGTCACTTGGGTGGCAGCCACAAGATCTAGGTGCCAGACATGTGTGCAAGCTCTTTCCAGAAAGTTACTGGTGACCTGGCTTTATTGTTGGAGAGAGCCAAAGGAGAAGTTGGGAGAAGCACCCAGTGGCTCTCTGGGGCTCCAGAGAAGACCACAATCAGCAGCTAGATGAGTGCTGTTTTGGTTGTTCTGCATATATATGTAAATTCAGTGTGCCCATGGGAGGAGGGAAATTCAGGAGCCTTCTAAGTCTCTACCTTGGTCCTAAACACAATAAAGACAAGATTATGGTCCACATCATTTGTTACAGTGATTAACTCAGGAATAATCAGGTGTCAGAAATGCATAGGGCAAGGTATGAGGGAAAGGGTGTGGAGCTTCCTTGCCCTCTCTGGGCATATGACCCTCCCAGCACTTCTACATCTTCACTAACTTGGAAGGTTCTGCCATACAATATTAATTTGTTTCTTTTTAAATTAGATATTACTAACCTCAGAGATAAGTTTTCCTCTTGTAGTTCTGTGAATTTCATTTTCTATACAACCTTTCTGGCAACTTGATTTTTTAATTGAACAGAAAATCCAGTACTTAAAGCTAAGCAAAAGTCTTAGCTGCTCATTTATTTATCTAAAAAAAAACCAGAATAAACAATTTTAGTTAAACCAAATATATGAATTCTTATTGATGGCTATTAAAATGTGTTTCAATTTACATTTGATGTTAATCGTTTTATAGTAAACACTGGCAGATTGACTCATCAGAATGATATACAGCACTGAAGATTCATCCCAGTGTACTTCAATGGGGCTTCAGAAATCTTAGCTTGGGGCCCTTTAAGCTACATTGCAGCCTCCTTGAAGCAATACAACAAAGAAAGAAATGCAGGCATTGTGAATCAAAGAAGAAAAATCCCATTAGTGTTAAAGGAATTTCTTCAGCATGGAAGAGATAATTCTAAGCATGGAAGAAGCATTTTCAGGTCTTTTATAAGTGATTATGGCTTTCCTGAATATGTTCCTTCTCTCTCAAGATTTGTCAGAATGTATTTGAAGTTCATTAGTCCACTAGGGCTGCATTTTGAAAGTGGCTCATGGAAATTTAAGCAGATAGTACCCATTAACATTAATGGACTTCCTAAGGCAAAATTCCCCCATACTGGGCTCAATATTAACCTCGATATGAATATTTAGAGAATACTCAATTCTTTAAAAATATTCCAAGTGCTATTTCAATAACAAAATTCCAATTAACTATATAAAATTGAAGTAGCACAGCTACTAGATTTGAAGGGTAGAACCGTATTTTTTGTGAAGGCTCTAAGCAGAATTGGTTGATATATTTTTCTCATCGCATTTCCTCTGTTCCAATGGGGTTTATAGGCACAGCACTTGTTGTCCAGTGGGACCATGTACATCTTCAGGACAATTACAACCTTGGAAGCTTCACGTTTCAGGCAACCCTCCTCATAGATGGACGCATCATCTTTGGATACAAAGAAGTGAGTAATGTATTGATGATTTCCTTCCCCCTTGACCATGACCTCTATCTTTTCCTCCACGTGTGAACAAAGAAACATTTTAGTCATGAAATTCAAATCGGTTTTTCACCTCTTGGTTTCTTTTCCTTCATAAAAAAAAAATGCATCTTTAAAAATCTGCAGGATAGAAGATTATTAATTCTTTGGGTTTTGTTTTGTTTTTCATTTCTGTTATCATTGGCATTATGACCCACAGATTTCACAAAATCACTGCATAATAATATTCTAGTGGTGTTATAATGAAATAGCTTTAAGAAAAAAAGTTTCCAATTTCATCTAAATCTGATTGTTTGTATTTATTTTTTGTTTGTTTTTGCCTTGTCAATTTCTGTGACATATTTTGGTAATTCCAAAAGAATTAACAGACATGAAATTTTTGTAGTTCAATTACCCAGTTACAGAACAGCTCAGACCACAATACATTTGGCCAATGGTATTACAACCTGATAGGAATGATTAATTAGAGATCTAAGTGACAGAAAGAATAAGGGAATTTAAATTTATGTTTTGTTTCATTTTACCAAACTGATGAAGAATGGAAATTTACTAAATTGTAGCTTTAAATTTACAGAATGTCCAAATTAGAATAATAGCATGTTTTGTTTAAAACTCTATTGGCAATGTAATTAAGGTCTATTAGACAACCTAAACTTCTGGGGAAGAAAAGAATATAAGAATAAAGGTCCAGGAACAGGAGAATAGCATATGTAATATTTTAGGCAGTCACTAGGCAGGAGAGAAATTCTGATAATATGGATTGATAATGGACATTATGAACCCATGAGATAATGAGTATTTATAATAATACAGAGTCAAAATTTTTCCCTTGGGAAATGAATCCCTGGCTATTAAAAAGATATTGACAATTCAAAAATGACTCACCTTGGTTAAGTCTTCTGAAATCTATCTTTTCTATTAAGTGAGGAATAGTTGTATTTCAATTAAATAGGCTGACTTTTGGAAGTCTCATAACCATGTTAAATGTTTCCACTCCTTTAAGAATTCTACTGTGTGAAATTAATCACTTATGTGGGTCAGTAATATAAATAGAATATAATTTAGGATCCCTTCTGCTTAGTAATTCCTCATCCAGACCTATGTTTTGATATCCTAGCCCATCGTATTCTTTTTTTTTTTTTGGTGTCATTAATATACAATTACATGAGCAACATTGTGGTTACTAGATTCCCCCCATTATCAAGTCCTCCCCACAAACCCCATTACAGTCATTGTCCATCACCGTAGTAAGATGCTATAGAATCACTACTTGTCTTCTCTGTGCTATGCTGCCTTCCCTGTGCCCCCCACACACATTATGTGTGCTAATCATAATGCCCTTTTCCCCTTATCCCTGCCTTCCCACCCATCCTCCCCAGTCCCTTTCCCTTTGATAACTGTTGTGCATCATATTCTTATATCACACTGCCTGGAAGCTGAGAAAACATTGCTCAAAGGAACTTACTCATTTCTCATTTTCATTGTAATCTAGTGCATTGCTGGGACTTCAGAATGACATTATGGAATGTAGTTTTCAACAATTTTAAACAACAGTGATAAAGTTTCTGAAAAGATCTAAGGTCTGTAAGTCTAGAGTTTTAAATCGCACTAACTGTAGGCTTTGTCAAAACAGAATTTTGTGTTTTTACTAAGGTCTCTCTAGTCTTTGTTATCAAAATTGTCATCTTTATTCATACTGTTCTCAATAGGTATCTCATATTGCAAAGTAGCAGTTTGTTTTTCCTGTTTTTTCTTTGTGGTGGGTTTGGTGTTTTTTTAATGTTTTTTTCTTCTTTTTATTTTAATCAAAGAAAAATTTTCCATTATGGTTTTCCTGGTTTGGCATGGGAAATATTAAGCTGATAGGCAATTTTAACCCTTTCTTAACCTTCCTAGACTTGTCCTATTGGACATGTCTTTCTGAACTCAGACTTCTAAAGAAATCACTGCTTTATTATTTGCCTTATTGTCCTTTCTTTGTCCTGGTTAAAAAGAAGTTTCTTATTTCCTATTATTTTCCTTCCTTTTTTTTTTCTGATAATTTCTATGAATTTTATTTTGCTAAGGCAAATTTCTGTTTGTAAGATTTGTCACAATAGGGGTTCCTTTGCATTTGGGGTGATAGCTAAATGTTCCTGCCACATCCAGAAAAATATAATTATGATAGCATAAAATAGTTATTTGCATTATGTATTAGCCTTGACAAAATGATTCCACATACATTATAGTTTTCGTTTCTTCAACAGTAATCCTACATTCTTAATGTTCTTACCTTTCACAAAGACACTGGTACATAGAAGGAGTTTAATAAATGTGTGTGGCCTAATTATGTAGTTAGATCATGCACAATTATGTTTATTTTATAGTTAAGTAGACTGAGTCAGAAATGTTAAGTGGCATGCTTGAGATACAGAGGTAGTTAAAGACAAATTCAAGACTAAAAACTTTATTTGGTGATCCCAAGGTACCTCAACATTTTTTTCTTTCCCAAGGAGATTATGTAGAACAATTCACAAATCTATTCCTCATTTGTCTTTTCAGTAAATATCAGTTAATGTTTGTTGTTTAATCTTTTTATCTGATTCCAATATGTTATACAATTGTATCTCACAAAGTCAGGGGTATTCTTAGTTAAGTTATAGAGCTAACAAAATCATGAGAACATAAACTATAGGAGTAAAATTTTGAGTTCCTGTCCAGGTTAAACTTACAAACCAAAATTATAGATAGGGAAGTGAGTGCAATTTTTTATGTAAAAGGTTGCTTCTAACTGGCTAGTGCCAGCTTTGTTTTATTTTATTATGTTTATATAAGTGAGAAGAAAAATTCTTATTTATGCAGAAACTACCAATAAAGAACTTGGTTAATTTGGAGAGTAAAACTGGTAATACATTGAATAAATTTATTGACATAAATTTAGTTTTTACTACCCCTGAGTTCATTCTGGTAGCTAATTACGTTTCTTTTAGTAGCCCAATATACCAACTGCTCATACTAACTACTCAATGACCTTCAGTTTTATCATGTTCCATATATAGCCATTTCTTCAACAGCATAATTTTTCACAGTACAAACTGGATAAATAATGATCAGTAAATTAGAACATGTACTGCAGTTCTCACAACAATCTCGTAGTAGATTGAGATAGGGAAGTACTATCATTATTTAAAATAAGAGTGAGCACAGATTTGCTCATAGCATTCAATGTTCGTTCTCCAAAGTCCCCATGTTCTTCTAACCACACTGTTGAGAGAAATAGTGGAGGCGCAGATTCCTTTAACTAATTAAGTTATCTCTCCTGAAGTTACGGCTCTGTATTATTCAACCAAAGATTTGAACTTCTATTTTAAGTTATAGGCCCCTGTTGTTACACAGCTGTTTATTTTAGTTAACTTCAAAGATACAGTTTACTTAGGATGAAGCAAAGCACAAAAAACATTGTCTTTTTAAAAATTTCCTTTTAAATTATCAACTGTTCATATCAACACATCTTTCAATCTCAGGGTATCCATTGCTTCTTTTGCATTGATTTAATTACCTGATGAAATTAACCATCTTCTCATCTACTTTCTTAAATATACTAGTAACAGTTCTTCTAAAGTTTTTGGCTGATAAGTCTAATACCTAGATTTCCTGTGGGTCTGTTTCTGCAATCTGTTTCTTTTTTCTTTTCCTCTAGATTTTTGCTCATTGGTTATGTCCCCTTGAATGCTAGATAATTTTTTTTATAAAATGCATTGTTTACAAAATACTAAAAGCTTTGAGATTCTGGATGATATTTTCTTTTTTCCAGATAGTTTACTTTTTTTAATTTAGCAATTTGGGTGGAACAGATTAACACTGCTGGACTAAGCTCATTCAAAGTTGAGGGTCAGTTCTTATAAAAACCAGTTTCTGGTTAGTCCTTATAAGATAATAGTCCTTCAGGAATCTCCACTTATGGCCTGGGAGTTTACTGTGGACCTTTTGCCATAGAGGCCCTGAACTCCAGTGTTTTCAACTCTATGAGACTGCCGGAAGTTCTGTTCAGCTTCTCAGTCTCCAAACCTTGCTTATGAATTGTCAGATGCCTTGAAGGGAAAGTAGTATTTGGTTCACATCTGTGATTTTCTATCTCTGGAATCTTGGCTTTTCTAGTTCTTTCTTTTCATAGTCACTTGATACCTTCCACAGATGCTTTCCATATGTTATTCCTCATTCCTGCTTTGTCTCAGCAGTACAAATGTCTTTATACAAGTTTGTGTGCCATATCCAGAAGTCCCATTCACTTTTAATGAAAATCTCCAAATTTGATAAAACCTAGCATTTATCAAGCTCTTCATGTGTGCCAGGCAGTGGCCCAAGTGCTTAAAATGTATCTCATTCTCACAGAAGCCAAGAGATGATGAAAAGGTTTATAATTTACAAAGCAGGAATCTGAAAAACTCAGAGAGGTTAAGTAACTTTCCCAAAATTATCATACAGAAATTTATCCAGGGGAATATGACTCTAGAGCCTATAGGCCTAACCACTGTATCACTGCCTCCCCAACACAATTCCTGTTCAAGAAATGACTGACCTGTTTCTCTCACTTTGATATTCTCAATGGGCTTTCCTGATAAGTTATTGTTACACTGTCATTCCACCACTTGAGAGCACAGGTAAAATGGTTTGCCTTTGTGCAGCATTTATTTTATTTGCTTCATTAATTTTTTAAAAATGAAAAGAAATTACACATAGGTTAACAAATAGCAATGAAAACATGCATCCTTTCTTAGATAAATGGAATTTGGAAAATTAAAGTCCTATTTACTATTCTGTTAGTCATTAGCTATGACACTAGAATGCAGATTTTTTATGTTATTTTAGGTTACCATTATTGAATAATGGTGATCATTTGCTTGATTACAATAGATAGAGATCTGATATTTTTGGTCTATTGATAATGTAATGAGGAAATTACGTATTCCAAAAAAACATTCCAA